ATATTGATGGAAAATACTTATATTGTTGTTGAAAGGAAACAAGCCTCCTCATTACCACAACCAACGCCATCACTATTACCACTTATTACCACGATTAGTACCACGACCACTATTTGCAGTACCATTACCACTATTATTACCATTACAAAAATACGATTACCCTTACCAATGCCACTATCATTTAATTTATCTTTATTATTACAATTACCATTACTATTTCCGTTATCATGGCCATTATCATTACCAATACCATTACCATTACAATTACCACTAGCCGTCACATTATCATTGCCCTTAGAGATACCATTGCCGTTACTATTTCCGCGGACATTAATATTCCAAGTACAACTACAAGTAATAGTAATTACTATTTCCATTACCATTATCATCATCTTTACTTACCATTATCCATACCATAATTATTACCAAGATCTGTACCATTGCCGTCACCATTATGACGAGGATTGAAAACTGGTAACCGCCGTTTTTTTTCGGGCTTCGAACCAAACCACTCCAAAAAATGGGAAGTTTCAGTTCAAAATAGAAATCCACTAAAGTATTTTCTAAATACTGTAATATACAACTTTGCCTGAAAATGCAACCCTTAAGCTGCATTTACATGAAGCGATCCAACATTGCTCAAGAAAAATCGCTCGTCTAAATGGTGATTCAGAAATCGCATGCCTTAAAGTAGACAGCAAGTCAACTTTGCAAGCGATTATCGCCTGTCAAAAAAATCGCCTAATGTAAATGTATGGTAAAACTACTAAAATTTGTTTGTTTGTTGGATTTAAGCTCTAAGCAGGATTTTAGTTGCATTGGCGTACCTGAAAAAAAATAGGTTTCGTTCAAGTGTGTTATGAAAAAAGAAATCGTCTAAAACAAAAAAAATCAAAAATCAACGGTAATTTTTAGCCACTTAGAACTTACATTTTACTGCAGTAAAATTCTATGGGCTACAAAACTGCATACCTAGAATTTTCCTAAATGCTCTGATTAAAATTTTTGATATTTCGATGACTAGTTTTTAAAATTTGAAAAATCTTCGGGTTTGCAGTCTTGGGCTGTACCAGAGAACTTAGATAGATAGAGAAGGTGCAAACTGAAAGTGGGAACTATTCGCGGACGAAAAATTAACAGCGTTAGAAAAGTTCAAGTCGGAATGTAGAAATTCTGTCGAATTTAATGTTGATAACATAATACAATGTTGAGCAACATGAAATGTGATGTTCTTTGCGAGCAAATAAACGAAAATATAGCTGAAATACAATGCCGGCGAACGGCGAACTCACCACAGCGAAATTCGCGTTGTCAAAATTAGAACACCCGCAAGCATATGAAATTGAACACAGCCAAAGCGAAATGCGAAGTTCGCTTGGCGGCGTTTCATGGCGATAGATTTATTTCTATCGCACTGCTGGGCTATGACAGCTGTGCGTGCCAAAGGTGGCCGTATTTCTTTTTTGCTTTTAAAGTTTTAAAAGAAAACAACCTAAACACGATTTTTTGTTGTTGTTTGAAAAATATAGTTGTGGATTCGTTAAATCTGGCTTGAAACAAATTATTTATAATAATCTTTCTTTGTTTTACATTTATATTTGTTATCATTTCCTCATTTCTAAATATGATTTAGTTTTTTCCAAATATGGTCACCCAAATTATAAAGGCGACCAAATGGGATCAGCTGTTTTCGCTATCGCTCTAATTCTGTTTAAGTAGGCGAAATAGCTGGGCGAACGGTGAACGACAGCATCGCGCAATTCGGCGAAGTTTGCCGTTCGCCGGTATTGTATTTCAAGCAATATGGTAAATCTTCACATAAGGGCTATTCGCGATCCTGTGCAAATGGCCAAGCATCATTGCATTGCAAGTTTGTATTGCAAATTATTTGCAATACACAAACAAAATACACGCATTTGCATTTGTCATGGCTTGGCAAATTTGCAATACCGAAAATCCATAGCATAAAAATGCTATGCATTGCATTCATATACAAAATCAAAGCTGATGCACAAAAATTGTTTTGCAAAAGCTTTACCATGACAGTTTAATAAAGCTCGTTCACAATCCATGGCATATTTCTGCAATTGCATAAATTTGTCAGCTCTTATGCACCGAATCGCGAATAGCCCTATAATTTTTATTAATTTGTAATTTTAAAGTTTAATTAAATTTAAGTTTAAAAGCTTGCACAAATTGCAAAAAAATGAATCAACCTTTAAGAAATGGTCATCCAAATTTTTTATTTTAATATTTAATATATTTTCGGGTATGCAGTATTGTAGTCCATTCAATTATATTATAAGAAAGTACAAGTTTCAAGTTGTTAAAAATTACCGTTGATTTTTTAGATTTTTTTGTTGGGGTGTTGCTGTTTATTTTCCATACAAAAAAAAAATTGGTTCATGTGTTATATGGAAGAAAATGCGAAAAAAAAATTCTAAGAAATCAACGGTAATTTTTAACGACTAGAAACTTGGACTTTAGTGTACTTGATTGAATGGACTACAAAGCTGCATACCCGAAACTTTTCTAAATATTCTAATTAAAAATTTTGAAATTTTTATAACAATTTTTTTAAGTTTGATTTATTATTTTGCAATTTGTGCAAGCTTTTAAACTTTTATTATTGTGGTTTCTGTTATAGATTGAATTATGTATTAAAGGAAATTATTAAAAATAAATAAATAAACATAATTTGCAAACAATATCATTTTGAATTTCGTTGCTAATTAGTTGATCGCATCTGTATGTACTACAAGCATCCATATGCGCATGCCTGGGAAATGGATTTGCATTTGACTCCAGAACTATTATTCACAAATAATATCTACGAGTATTGCAGTAAAAGTCAAAAACAACTTTGAAGTTAACAAGTGCATTGCTTTGTACATTTTTTTTGTTAATGCGTCCATCTTTAAAATGAGTATGTGAAAAAACCAAGTTTATCATTTTTTGTAACTAACATGCATTTTTACTATTTACATAATATAATACTCGTACAAGAAGCGAACTTGAACAGATGCTTTTTAAGTTTTTAGCAACATTAACTACTGAATAAATTATATTTAACAAATGGTCATGCAGAAATGCAAATCAGCAATTCTAACTAATATAAAAGTACATTTAATATAATTTAACTATATTAATTTATTTAATTTTATAAAAAAAATATACATGAATACGTTTCTGCATTCACATGCAACCTAGCAACACATAGCTAGACACTTGCAACAAATATAACATTATCATAACAGAAATTTACATTTTTCTCTGTTTACTCTTGTTGAAATGTTAATCGCGCTGTGGTGATATTCCATGGATTTATTTTTCAGCCAAACAATTTTACGTTCCAAAAATTTGCACCTTTTCTATCTATCTAAGTTCTCTGATACCACGGCAAAGATTTTCAATTCCATCACATTTCGACGAAATTTACCATAGTAAAAAAAGGAACTGAAAAAAGTTCATAAACCAAAAAATTTACGTTCTAAGAAAAAGTTCACATTTAGCACAGTTTCAAACTATTTCGGAGTAAAGAAAAATCTGACAGTTTGGCAGCCAAAATACCATGCGAAAAAACAGTTTGATAGCCACCGCTGAGCTATCGGTTTGTGCTGTTGCTAAAGCTTACGCTAAGAGCGTAAACTAAAGGTTGAAAAACGTGATGTAAATTCTCTGGCGGCATCTAACGATAATTAAAAAAAGCTTGTTGAAAATGTAGTAGATTATTTTTACTCACCGTTGTCAATTTTTAAAATTCAAAATTTTGTTCAGTAAATTAGGAAAGGATTAGGGAAAAATGTGCACAACAGAATTCCGTGCATACAGTGACTCAAACAAGTCTTCACATGTTAATTTTATTTTTATAAATATTAATAATGCTTTTCAATATTTTTTTTTTTTGTTTTTCTATAAAAACATTGTCCAAGCCAAAACTATATAAATCAAAGTTTCAAACTTTATGCATGCAAAATTTAGGAAAATTCTTATGAAGTAAAATGCGCAAGACAGTTCGCATTTTTTATAGATTTCACATGTTCTCTACTATAGCATAGAATAACTAAGCGAAATTTCAAACTTAAAAAACCAGTGATTGAAGTACTGCTAGCCCAAAAACTACGTAATTTGTAAGCTGCACGCGCCTATGCAAACTACATATATAGAAAGCTTAAAAGACCTTTGCCCGCGGGAAAGGCAGTGCCCATCACTGATTTAGATGTACATATACAGTGACTCAAACAAATTACCACGTGTTGATTTTCTTCAAATATTCGTAATGTTTTTTCGAGATAATTTTCTTTTGTTCAGAATAAAATGTTTTGATGAAAATTTTTTTAATTTTCCTAAAATTTGTATAAAATTTGAAACTCTGATTTACACGGTTTTGGTTAAAGCTTAGACGATATTTTTGTACAAAAATAACAAAAAAAGTTTATCTCGCAAAACATTACGAATATATTTGAAGAAAAGCAACTTGTGGTCATTTGTTTCAGTCACTGTATATATATGTATGTATATACATAAGACTGTGTCAAAAACACGCTAATTTTTTTCTTTCAGTCCCATATGAAAATTTCGTTGTCGGTCACAAAAAAAAAGTTCGACAAAATTTCAAAATTTATAAGATGTGGGCTGTTCGTTGGACTAAATAATGAGTCTTTAAATGAGAGAGGTCTTGGCTTCCAAATGTGCAATAAGGTTTTATTTTTTTGAATAGAGTTGCCGGCTGTCTAAAAAATTATAAGATCCACACCGTTCGTTGCATTAAAAACAAAACATGTCAAATGAAAGGGCTTGGCCATTAGGTTTGCAGTAAGGCTTTATTTTTTAATAGGGTTGCCACCTGCTGCGTTTATGTAATTCAGTATGTACCGGATCGTGAATACCCCTAATATCAAATGAAGTCCATGCGGGATATGACTGGTCTACACATATTTTTTTTGTTTAACCCACTTTCGTTCACTGTTTCCTTTCTATGCTTAAACGTTTCTCTTTAAATGTTTCCAATGTATAAGCTTTTAGTTTTATTGATGCTTATTTCTTATAATTTTTCAGGTGCAGTGATGGCGACTCTTCGGCGAATGAGGCTCCCGTATTTGTAAGTAAAAAGTTTATTTACGTAGGTACGTACATACTTTAGCGGATTGATTTTTTTTTAAATATTTTTCTTTTGGCCTAAATAACATACACATGTACATACATACGTATGCGATTTGATGATTCGATACTTTAAATTAAATGGAATGCAAAGAACAGCTGAAACCATTTGTTTCGAATGAAGAAACGCTGCTCGTTTATCGTCTCCCTTTATCTTAAAAATCAACTTAAAAAAAAACAGAAAAAAAAATTTTAATTTATTCGTTGTTTATTTAAAAAAAAAATTGCCAAAAAATATTTTGCATCAAAATTCTGGTTTTTGGGAGTGCCAACTGAAAACTTAAAATAGGAGCCTGCAGGTTTGCCACAATTATTTTTTTTTTGTAACCAATAACTACCCTCTTAGCACTTAAAGTTATCAGCTTCCTGCGGAATTTTCGATTTCGAGATGACTTGCAGTAAAATTCTCCGCTCAATATTCTTTTATTGCACTTTAACCCTATCAGTACCATTTTCAATTATTATTATTTTTTTTAATAAAGGTCAAAAAGACCGGAATCTATACCATATTTCGTATGGCATTACAACTACATTTAGGCGCCTCATAGATTTTAGTAAGTGGTAAGCGTAATACATACATCACTACTTGCTTGCGTAATACAAAAAATATGTTAAAAATCAAATCGCAAAATTCCTGCAACCGAATTCCTAAACTCATTCAATGACTTCTCAACTTTACAACTCTTTGTGGCATGCAACCACATGTCTCACAATTACGCCGCAGCTCTACAAATATTCAGACACTCATATCCACATTCATACATATACATATATTTAATTATGTACTCATCACAATTCATTGCGCATTTCTTTCCTACCAGCAGCTCGCTCTCCTCCTACAAGTGCATTTTTTCGTGGTTTGCTCTCTTCGATGTGCATCAGTTGGGCGGCCGTCAGTGATTTGTTGAATTTTTGGCTTTTTTTCCTGGTCATGATTTTGATGGAATTCTTCCTTTTCATAGCGACAATTGTTCTAACTCGTGTTGTTGCTATTGCTGATGGTGATACTTTTTTTTCTGGTATGTTATTTTGATAGTAAATTTTACGATGTCAATTTGGGTATGTGGCATAGGGTATGTGGCGTGCGGCATGCGACCAGCCAAATGCTGCACTTGTAATAAAATCCAAATTCCCCAACCACACTTGTCGCCCGCCCCCCGCTCCCTGCCGAAATTGTATTTGTGTAGGAGTAGTCGTATCACTTTCATATTTGTTTGTCTTCTTGTGCGTGCTGCATTCTTCCACTGCAGTTATTTTCATTCCGTTGCTTGATTTCCGCTCGATCATTTGCTTTTTTTTACAACTTGTCTCCCGGCTTCAATTACATTCGTAGATACATATGTCCGTCCATACCATGCGGGTGCATCTAGTTTGACGATTTTAATGGCTTAATTGTGTCTACTCGAAGACGCTTTTCGTGTTCGTTCCCATTTTATTAATTGATGAGACGTGATGCCGTAAAAGTAAAATCAGAATTATAGCTCAACTGCTGGTGTGTGTGTTTCATTTCGGTAGCAATTGAACAACTGTGAAGCGTGTAAACATAGAATTTCAAGTGATTTACATAATAAAATTTAATATGTTTACACGCATGAATTCTTGAGGATGGGCCAATGTTTTCGTGTTCGAGAGGAGGTCGATAGGTAGGCGTGCTGCACATGTGCATACAAACATATATTTGTGCCTACATTTAAACACATTTGCTTATATGTGTGTATGTACATATGTTCATAGGTATATGTGGAAATACCAGAGGTCAGGTAGCCTCAAGGTTAGATAGTCAACTGAATGCTAAAAGAGAATACAAATCCAGCATTTGAAGACGCTGAGGACTTTAAGTTTCTAAGCGAGCATCGCCTGTTTTGTGCTTATTAACTCATTGAAACCCTTCAAGTATTTGGGTCCCCGATGGCGTCATATCTTTCCAGCTACAAAAGTTTGCGAAGGTGTCCCGACGTTGGCTTGCCCCTATCTACATGGGCTGCTTAGGCAGGACTGTGTCCCAAAACATTAGGTTCTGGTCGGGGTTAATTTTATAACCATGGCAAGTAAAACCCCGGGGACTAGCAGTACACAGTGGTCGAAACTACAGACATATCCGAACACGGCACTCCGGACACACTTTCACGACGAGGCTCAAATTCTCCCAGTTAAGTAGCATAACATGATGCTCATCAAGCAGCCTTTAGTAGGGTGTCCCTCGCCCAGGCACGTCAAAAGGCATCTATACGAACTGAAAGACGACATCCAGAGTGTCATATGTGAGAGGTAGGTCTGTTGGTTGAATTCCAGAATTAGTTATGCTGCCTTAAAGCCTCAGGGCTAAACCCGAGATTCGTAAAATACAAGTCGAGATCCAATCCTATGTATGAACTGAGCAGGAAACTTACTTCCATGACTAAACGGTATTGTCTTCCAGCAGTTCACAGCCTCGACTTGGCGCCGAAATACCTACAACCAGTATAAATCCTAGAGAAGAGCTTCAAGAACTTCTTTTAGGTGATGTTCCAAATAAGTTTCAAGCTGTGAATAAAGAAATCTATTTTGTTGAATCCATTTAGTCTCATTCACCAAAGCTAAAATTCATTCAAGAATTCTCTTTTTTCCCAGGCATCTGTGCATCGACCACGCCACAATGTTGGCGCAAGTTCAGCCGCAAGACGTGATGGCCAGCCAAAAGGACATGGAGCCGCAACAACAACAGCTGGTGGTGGTCATCAACAACGCCAAAGCTATCATCAGTATCAGCAACAACGTAAATTACAACAACAGCTGCAACAACAACACTACCAGCAGCAGCAACAGCAATCAATCGGCAATGAGAATTCGAGTGCCGCACAAAAATTAGCCAAAACGAGTCGCAATTGGAATGAACAACAACAACAGCAGCAACAAATACTGCGGCAACAGGCACAGGCACTGGCACAGTATCAGCCACAGCAGCCGCACACGAATACTGGCGACACTGCAGCGAAGCAATCAATTGCGGTGGGAATGCCGCAATCATTGGTGGCTGGTGGCCATGCTGCTGGACATGGCAGGCCGGCAATGCAACAAATCAATACGAATGGTGGGCTGCAACGCGATTTGTCGCCAGCTAAGACGAGTCGTATACCACAGCAGCAGCAACAGCAACAACAAACAAATTTTAATCAAATATCGAAAACCGCTACAAATCTATTGAACGACATTTACGAGCGTCATCTGCTAAGTCAGACGACATTTCAAGTGGACGGTATACAGGAGAGACAACAGCAACAGCAGCTGCCACAACAACAGCAACAGCAGCTACCACAACAACAGCAACAGCAGCAGCGGCCGAACTGGCAACAAAAGCAGCAACTGCAGCAGCAGCGCTTCTTAGCAGCGCGTCAGGTGGGCCAAGAAGTAGAGCTCAATTTCGCCAGCTCTTCGAGTCAGCAACAACGTAGTCAGCCGCAACAAAATCAATCTCAGCAGCGTACACAGCAATCGCCACGCCACTTTCTCTCTGCTGCCAACAGTCAACAGCAGCAGCCATTTGACTCCTCACACGAAGATGTTGACAGATTGTCGTCGTCGGCGGCAACTTTTGTGCCCATACATGGTGGGCCCAACCAGCAGCATGTTGCACAAAAGCCAGTGCACTTTTTGAAGTTGCCGCCACCACCACCACCGCCGCCGCCTGCGCCAACAACCAACCAACCTGGTGTCAAGCAGGAATCCATACATTCCACAGAGTTGGGAAGCTACTCATCCTATCAGCAACATTTCCAATTCTCCGATGCCTATGTAGAGCCAGTGGATAGTCGGCAACATTTTCTGCTGCAGAGCGATGCAGCTGCGAATCCACCACCACCGCCTGCGCCACTCAATCACGTCTATGAGACAATTAAGGAGCGGCCACCGTTGCCGCCGCCTAAAAATCTTAGAAAATCTGGTGCAGAAGATGTGGCGCCCCCATTGCCACCCTCGAGACAGTTGAAAAAGCGTTTGCTCGCCGCAAAAGTGGGTGGTAATAAGCGAGCAGCAGCAGCAACAGCAACAACGAATAATAGTCACGGCAAAGTGGATGCTGGTCAGTTGGGTGGCAGGCTCAATAGCAAGCTGCTGCCTATGCAACCGCCAGCATATGTGGCGCCACCAGCTGCGGCTACAAAGCAAGTAATCCAACAGCAGCAACAACAACAACAGCAGCAGCATCATCAATATAACCCTCAACAGCGCACCAAAGCCGATGGCGAGCAACGTCCTTACCTCTATCAGCAGTTGCGCGAACGACAGCAACAACAACAACAACAACAACAACAGCAGCAGCAGTTGCACCCGGCGAAGGCAGTTGCACAGCGTCAACTTGTGGAGCCGCACCAGTCTCAACAACAACAACAACAGCAGCAATCCCGTTCAGAACACACAGAAGTGCGCGAGCATCCTTTGGGCGCGCATGCCGACCAGCACGGTGCACAACAACAGCAACAGCAACAACAAAAGACTCAGAAGTCTGCTGAAATTATGATAGCCCAACCCGCAGTGGCATTAACCACCACAAAGGCAACGGTACATGCCACAGCAGCCACAGCATCCCCACAGGTGTTGTCCTCTTCTACAACTTCCAATTCCCAGCCCACCACTTGCGGCATCTCCGCCATTGATGTGTCTGATAGCTCTGTGGAATTGTTGTTACAACAAGCCGGCTTACTGCAATCGTCGCATGCCAGCTCATTAACGGCAATGCACAGCAACAGTGGCATTGGCATTGGCGGCGGTGGCATCAACAACGCATGTGCGCATGCAACTAATAATAATAATAATGCCAAACACAATGGCGGCAATGCCAACAACAACAACAATTTGCCCACTACTAGCCATCACCAACGACCCACTGCTTTGCCCATCGTTTTCGAGGAGGACACCGGCGAATNGCCAAACACAATGGCGGCAATGCCAACAACAACAACAATTTGCCCACTACTAGCCATCCCCAACGACCCACTGCTTTGCCCATCGTTTTCGAGGAGGACACCGGCGAATTTCAGGATGTTTTGGTGCTCGAGGAGGACGGCACCGCCAAATTGCCATATCGGCACGGCAAGATCGAGGTGCGTTTGGAGACGGCGCAGGCGATGGCCGCAGCTGCTTATTATGCCAGGTGAGTTTAGATTAGATTTGCGGCAAGAGGCTGGCAATGCTGGTGCTTATTGTACTAACTATTGTTAAAAAAAAAAGAATTCATGTGAGAGATGGAGGGATACTGTGAGATGCAATGTGGTATACTTATTGAGGGGGTATGACAGAAGTTCGATAATGTAGATAATATAAGTGTAAGCACTTGATTTTGTCTGTCGGAGAGTAAGCGGTGCTCAAGCCTCAAGTTGATTTCCAATCCGCGCTTTTACTGTCCGAGAGCTTTTACTATAGTCTCGAGTAGTACATTAGGGTACATTGAAGGCACCCTCGATATCAGAGAAGGCACTAACCACGTAATCTTTGTTCTTCAATTATTAAAAATGAGGTAGATTCTACTGATCTGCTCTAAAGAGAGACTCAATCGCTCCCCAAGAACCTTGTTTTGTTGTACAAGCCAATCAGACTACAAAGGTCTAAAATAGGAGAAAAGGGATGCCGATCTGAAATTCATCCTCACAGTTCTTCGTGCCTTCGGGATGCACCCTTTGTCCAAAGCCACACCTCCACAAAACTTTAAAGTTGTGAAGGAATTATCCTGAACTTCTCTAATAGATAGTAAGTAGAGATGTCCGGCGAAACGGAGCTCTCTTGGGTGGCTTTTGGGAGTGACTCTTACAATTTTCTGGCCGTAGGGTTCCCCTTTTGTCCTCCAAAATTATCCTTAGAAGATTTTTGCCAAGAAAAAACTGAATAAACCTTTTGTCTGCAAATTAGTGAGCATCAAGAATGCTCCGGTCGGAAGTGTGGAACCTCAGAGTAGAAGAAGAAGGACTTCGTGCAAAACAGATTTAATACTAGTCCACCCTTGTGGTCGGAAAGATTAAATTTCATACGATTTCGATGAAATTTAGTTTGTATTCTCTCTTTTATTATAAAAACCTAAATGTAAAATATGGGGAAAATTTTTCTATGAACTGTCGCCTGAACTTTTTTCCACCTGCCTCCACATAAAGCGCCGCGCCGTTCTTCAGACGCACCCCTCCGTCGGTTGAACGACGCAGGGTTTCGTGTCAACCAAAAAAAAAATGCCTGAGTCGCTTTGATTGCTGCGGACATCGCTTTTTGTAGACTTGTTTCCTGGTCAATAGAGATCGCAAAGATCTGGAGCATGCAGAGTCATATCGTTTGGTTTAAAAGAGTTTCGTAATGGCTGCGTTATTTTCATAATTTTTCCTCGTCGTTTATTCCAAAGACGTCTGGCAGCCGTAACAGCTTTTTTTTGTTCCGTTCTAAACTTTTTTTCCAGTGACCTAACAGAGAGTCACGTTGACATTACTCAGCGCGCAACACCTTTGAACAAATTTCGATTGCAATTCTTTGGAAACAATTAGCGCAGCTAAAATTAGTCCAAACTACGTTCAAGATATCTGCAAAATGTAGATATGTTTCTAGAGTGACCAGATAAGTGCAAGGTAAAACCAGGACACTGGCAAGAGACCCCCAGTCACGACACTTTAATTCGACCCTGAAATCATGACATGTCCTTATAAATCAGGACGTCTGGTCACCGTACAGGTTTCTACGATTGTCGTGGAATGTTCTTAGATTAATGGCTCATGCCGAAAGAGTTTTTCACGCCAGGTCAGAAATTTTTTTATGTATGTACTTAAAAATATAATAATTAAATTGCCTACTTAAAAAACAAAAAATATCCCAACTAAGTGAACTTTAATTGGCATCTCCACGCAAGCTGTACTGGCGCAGGAGTTTTACAAACATAGATACATATGCAAGTAAAAGCACATACATATATACAAGGAAAAGTATGTGTGTTTTTAATTAAATGATCCACCTTAGATTGGTCGGCTCGACTGTTGCGGCTTCACAAAGCCGCTTTCACCTAATTCAATGCCCAGGATAACTATTCATTGATGCTGCTCCTTTTATGCCATTTTCCGCCTTTGTGCCTTTCCTTATTTTCTCCAGCACACTTTCATAGTGTTTCCTAGTTATTGACGGCGATTATTATCTTCAATGAATTTTCTCTTCACTTCGCCGCCTAGGTACCACTTGATAGCTTTTTCATGTTTGCCGCATAATTGAAAAAAGTAGTAGTAGTGAGCGTAATGAAGCGGAAATCTATTAAAGATTTTTATCTCGTTTTGAAGTTTGAAGCTAAATAGTATGCCGGTAGTGCTTTTGAAAGTGAAACAAAAGAAAAGGAAACCTTGTGGAAAGTAAAAAAAAAAATTGTAAATTCCCAAGTAGGTGAGGTGTTTATAATTAATTAATTTGAATCTTATTTAAGTTATGATAAAAGCAGCGTCGGTATGTCATTAAACTGTGGAAAAATTCGTTTTATTTTCATCTTTCACGTGGTTGGACATTTAAAGGCTTTATGTATGTCTTTAGTTTCGTATTTTCTTTTATAAGGAAGAAAATGCGCTACTTCAAACTTGCAAAAAATTGTTGTTATGGTGCAACTTTGTGCATTTTTTCACAAAGCTTGCCTTTTGCATTTATATGATTTTTAAAATTAATTTGAACAAGTATTGGTTCGGGGGAATACCGAACTTTATATACCCGGCGCACGTTTTAAATACAGGGTTTTCATCTTTCTGTAAACTTACTTGAAAAGCTGGGGGTTTCCCCCGATTTCAAACATTTGTGATAATAAGTATCTATGTATGCTCCATTAGACTTTATGAAATATTTAATTGAACTGGGCTTGGTGGAAAACGGTAAAGTGCTTACCGAGATACGCATACATATGCATTAAGAAGTGGGTGGTACCACGCCCGTTTTCCCAAATTTTGCAATAATCTGATTTATGATCGATTTCGAATTAAGTAGCTTTAATAGTTACTGATTTATCGCAGTTTTCGAATTTCTGTAAATTAACATTATATGGGAGATGGGCGTGGTTATTGTGCTATTTCAAAAATTTTCAACAGGTTTCTTGGTGGAACACTCAGCAATATTCCTACCGAGTTTGATGTAGGTTGGTTATAAGTGGGCGGTGGCACGCCCATTTTCAAAAAATTTCATAATAATATTATTTTTACCACAATTCTACTTCACCACACTGAATTTCAACAATTTGCATCTAATATTTAGTGAAATATCGCAGTTTTTGCATTTTTCGAGAATACCGTTATACGGGAGGTGAGCGTAGTTATTCGCCTATTCGTCTTTTTCCAAAACTGGTTTTCGAGTTATTCGAAATTGCAATTAAAAAACCGGTTCCCGATTTTGAAATTAAAAAAAAAAACTGTTAAACCGGTTATAGTTTACATAGTTCTCATAAAGTGAAAATGCTTATGTAGCCCAGGCAAAAACTTACAATAAAACTATTAACACTAAAGATAGCTTTACTTTAGAAAAAAATGACGCAAAATTATGCGTTTTTTTAGATCAAAAATAAAAACAAATAAAAATCAATGAAAATTTCACGTTTGCTCTTATTTTAACTATTTTTTTTTAATACTTTATTGCATTTTTTCTGACCTTTTTCGGATTTGAGTTGTGCACTTGCTGAGGGCTTAGATGTGCCTACTGCCACTCGATAGGTCCATGGTTCAATTTCTGGTCCCAGCAACAGCAAAAAACTTTTTTTTTTTCAAAAAGCGATCGTCTCTCGGCAGACAATGGCAAACCGCCAACAACATGGCAACATGAATTGGAGGAGAAGCTCGGCAAAACACGTATACAACGTTTAAGCACCAAACAATAACTATTTGTAATCAAATATAATACGGGATTTAAAAATATTTCGACCCCGGCGCCATCTAAGGGCGAATTTTTTTTCAAAAATATTCTTGCATAACGGACGGGGTTCACACTTCATGTGTTTGATTTGTTTCAAATTTTTAGGGTTGATGCATAAACATAAATAATAAATAAATATGAAATTTCAGCTTGATTAATACATTTTCATTTCATTTTTACAGCACAAAAACAAAAACAAATCGATTTAATAGTTTTGCAAGTATCTCGAGAACGGAGCGAGGAAAAAATTTGAAAAAAAATAACACATACACACATCAAAATTCTCTATGAAAAGAAATATTTAAAAATTTTTTTTTTCTTGAAAAATTTTGCACATATAAAATTTTTGATAAAAAAAAAAAATAGTTTTCGAAAATATGACATCTCAAAAAAAAAAATGTAAAAAAATCACAATGGCAGCTCTGAATACTGCGCATTGATTGATTTGTATCCAAGTGAGCTACTAAACATCGAAAGAGATCGGTAACATTGTGTGCCATAACAAGGGGCCTACACGCGCAGGAATCGGCATCCCAAGCATTCCAACATAACCTAACCTAATTCAATTGTGCTAGAAAAGTCAAACTTGACTCGCAGTCCTAAATACATATGTACTAAAAATACACCACCCTTAATAAATTCCATTCGAGGCTGCATACATACATACTATGTATATGACCTTGGCTATGAAAGGCCGCGATTTCATTAGCGGATTTATAATAATTGAATAAGATCAATTAAATATAAAACGTTCGTAGAATATAGAAAACAGTAGCGCTTTAAATGTTTATTTTAGCTAATCAAAGGATCATGCTGCTCTCATATACATACATAGCTCTCGAAAGGACATACCTACATGCATACATACATACATTCGAAAATGGAGAAGACCCAACGGAATGATTGATTTCAATTATCAGAGGACCACTTTTTCCCTTTTCCATTGATGAATACGTTTTGTAGCCATATTATTTTTATGAGCAATGTTGCTTACTGCAATGTCTGGTGAGCCGCTGTTGGCATCTATTACCATTTTTCCGTTTATTTCATTTGACTGATTGTACTTTTTTTTGATGAATT